TTGTATTGTGCCCATAAACCGCTAAATATATTTCATAAATCATTTTCTGTTTGTAATTAACCTTTATATGAATTTTCGATTCCACGATGCAAACCAATAGATATGTTAAAACACGAGTAGTTTTGTTTCGTTTGTGAGTTTGAGAACAGTGATTTGAATGGAAATCGCATGATAGTGAAACTTGGAACGGTTGACAACAGTGACACTACCAGTTGTGTAGGTTCTTATGGGTTCAGTTTAAAATGAGCCGGATTCAGGTATAATTGAAGTATTTCTTGTATTATATTGTGCACATAAAATATAATAACACATATATAGAATTTTATGACCGATCTAAAATAATAGAGACACTTAGCTTTTCCCATATGTTTACAGGATAAAAAAAAGCCGTGTGGTGTCGTGGGACACCCGATAGGAACGAAGTTGTGACGATCGAGTAAAACTGATTTGACACGATTTTAATTATAACGCCATCTATGAAAGCGGCTATCACCTACATATTAAAAACAATTAAAACAATTTATAGATTGGTAAAATCTCCTTGCGAAATGATTTCCTATCTATTCGATAGATGGCGCTGAATGTCTGACAAGATGACACGAAAATAAAGAGCAAAAAGCCAACATCACGTGGTATTCCCAGGCGGTCACCCAACTACCAACCCAACAAGTACTAACCACGCCCGATGTTGCTTAACTTCGGTGATCGGACGAGAACCGGTGTATTGAACATGGTATGGACGTTGGCGAACGTTAAAGCAAATTTAATGTATGGTATCCACAGTTAGACGTCAATTTATATTAATAAAAAAGTGTCGTTCCAAATTTTCGTACGAATTTTTTCCGTCTAGCCCCCTTTCACAACGCGCGATAAGGAACTTCGTTCCAATAACCATATTGAAATAAGGTTAACCTGTAATTCAAATTTTGGCCTTATCAAATAATTCATCATCATCATCATCAATAGCCTTTAATAGTCCACTACTAGACATAGGCCTCTCCTTAGAAAGGAGATTTTAGCCTACTATACCACGCTGGCCAGACGGGTTGGTATAGGGTTTGTGTCAAGTTTTCCTTCTTTTTGCAGTGCTGGTGTCTTGCGTTGTTTTGTGTCCTTAGTCGGCTCTTACGACACTCACGGGATGAATTGGGGTAGTGACATTCCGTATTCTTAATCCGTCACTACACGGACGTCAAATAATTATTTGGCATCAATTCTCCTAATCATTCGCCGCCAATGGGCAATCGCTGGTTCATATTTACCAAAAAAATGCTGTTTATTATCTCTGCTACGCCTATATTTGATAGCTTAAAACTCAATCAAAGTTAACAACTTGAGATTTTCATTATCTTCACCCTTCCATATTTAATGAGCGGTTATAATTAACATTAAGGTTGATATGAGCCCTATCATAACGTCGTTTGATCGTGACAGGCGAGCGTTGGGTTCGATTCCTCATACATATTCAGAGGGGTTCTTGCGTGCTACTAATGAACCCTGGCGACTGCAGACGGTGTATTGTCAGATGCACAGGTTTGAAACTTCTTTTGTTGTCATAAAATTATATTGTGAATGTTTTGTTGATTGTTGAGGTCGTTAACCTTTTTGGTGTTTCGGCTTCTAGGTTATCTACTCGTTGGAATTACACAATATAAATTTAATCTACTGATGTATCTTCACTGAGCAAAAAAAATATCTTAATTTTCTTTGTACTTATATTTAAAGATTTTGAAATCCTAGGGAGGTCTATTTGCCAAGCCAAGCAAATTTTTTATGACTGATTTTCGATTAGGTTTCTGTATTTATACATTACTTATATACATCAGCATATAAAATATATTAGTATTAATGTTCATAAATATAAGACGATTAATAGATTTGCATATACGTGTTTATGTACGTAGGTACGTACCTTTACGCATACAAAAACATTTAAAAAAACCTTTTTTTAAATATATTAAGTGTTTATTTTACTAACACATCTACGCATTCTGTACGTAGTGCAGAATTCAATTCACATAACGTCTGATTTTTTTCCTACATCTCACACACCTGTCTGATACCAAAAACAAGGCAGAACCTTTACCATTGTAACTAGACTGCTGATGCATACTCAGACCTAGAATAAATAGTTGTGCTCATCGCACAATTAGTGGTTTGTGTAACGGACTGCTATTCCAAAGGTCGCGGGTTCGAATCCAACATTAAATGTTTGGTCTGGGTGTTTCTATGTATAATGGACACTTTTCAGAACACTTATTTTATTAAGTGTTGTACTTGATTCTTTCTTAAACTTATAATCGCTTTTAAATACTAAATCCTCGCACTTACTTATTGTAAGCTGTTTTCTATTCGTGAAGACTTGTTAATGGCTGAATGTAATCTATACAATATTAAATCAATTTGTAAAGCTCTTCCAAGATCAAATAAATAATATCATACATATTACACATAGAAAACCCCCTATTTACAAAAAGAAAAGTATATTAGTTGTCTAGTAGCCACAGTACAAGCTCTGCTTAGTTTGGGACTAGATGGCATCGTCTGAATGTGGTAGAATATAATAATTATTATCAATTATTCTGGCTGGCAAATCCCTTCGTATCTCCAGCTCCTTCGGGGTAGGGACCTAAGATCTCTCCTCAGCAATTACTAAACACTAAATAATTCGACGTGAAAAAAACCCATCATTTGTTGTGTGAGATAAATGTTTTGTGTTAAATATAATATGAGTAACCAAAATGATATTTATCTATAACGAAAATAGTACATTCATATATGAGAAACTAGACAGCCCTTAAAATGTATAACTCTCAAAACCCTAACATTATGTGTAATACAACCCCATAATAAAATTAGCTTTCTACCTGTGACATTATTCTTAATGTTACCAGTAAAAGGAAAATTATTCTTACATTACACTGATATAAAAGGCTATCGGTGCGTTCATCTCTCCCTACTTTTCCGGCTGGAAGGAGACAAGTGGAAAAAATTCAGGGAAAACAGTTAGAATTATTGAAGACGAGGGTGGTGGGCCGGCTAATGCGGCTGATATTATTATTGTGGCCAAAACGACGGAACGAATCCAGCAATATTTGACGTCGTGGTGAATTAACCACCGAATCGATCTCGATTATTTTGACATTTTCATTCAATTATGTCTATTGATGAAATGTTATTAGTAGCGTCATTGGGTTTATAATAATCTAATCTTAAATTAAGAAGATATACCAATAGACCATTTAAAATTAAACTTTAACAAAAGAAGCACATGTTTATACAAAGCGCTTTGAAAACAGTTTTAAACATCGAACAATTTTTTTTTATACTCTTATTATAATAACGTATACCTAACTTCTCCGACTTTAATTAAAAGTCGGAGAAGTTAGGTATATAAAAGTTATTAAAAAGAAAAGATTTAATTGCAGAACTAACAATCATTTTATCATTTATCATTTTTAACCCCCTACGGAAAACGAGGTGTGTTATAAGTTTAACCTGTGTATCTGTCTGACTGTGGCATCATAGCTCCCGAACGGATAGACCAATTTAGTTGCGTATTTTTTTTGTTTCGAGATGGTTCTTAGCTATAAAGCTTTTAAGATCATTAGCTCACTTCCTAGGTGATAAAGTGATCTCACTAAAATCCACAGATTGATCTGTGTATTGTTGTGTGTTGCTTTGATGGTATTTCCACGATTTGGTAACCTGGAACTTGCTGCTGCGTCAAGTAGTCTCCGGGATAGCCAACTTCACAGAAAATTAAAGCAAATATACCATGATTGGGCTTTCCGTGTCCGTGTGACGGATTAAGAATACAAATTGTCACCACCCCAATTCATCCCGTGGGTGTCGTAAGAGCCGACTAAGGGAGCAAACTAAGCAGGACAACAGCACTGCAAAGAGAAGGAAAACTTGAAACAAACCCTATACCAACCCGTCTGGCCAGCGTGGTATAGTAGGCCAAAACCTCCTTTCTAAGGAGAGGCCTATGTCCAGCAGTGGACTAGTATAGGCTGTTGATGTGACGATGTGATGATGATGGGCTTTATACTGTTTCTTTTTATGTCGGGGGTTTTAATATTGTGTTATTTATCTCAGGGATCTCATATATTTAACTCTATTCTATTGGGATTCTATTGGGAATGCCAACCAATATAAAGTTTATACCATGTTTTAACCTGTTAGCAAAATTTGCACAGAAATAGTTCTGTAGTTACTACAATCCATCTGAATAATAACATTTACTACCAATGTAACACGTATTCACAACAGTGAAATAACAGGTATTAATCATTAATGTAAAACAAAATAAACATCAACTCTTAAATCCTGAAGAACTCTTCACTCTTTTCTTAAATAGTTATCACAATGGTGCTAATTCAGTTGTTCGAAAACTCTCTAAACCAAACTTAAAATCACTAATTATTTAGTCCTCTCAAACAACGTTTCGTATTCTGAAAACGTAGTATTTGACAGGACTAAACAATTTTTTTGTGATTTTTACAACAGAATTAGCACCATTGTCTAATTATTATCACACCACAAAATCATCGTCATATGTCTGGACCAGCTACCGTGAAGCCATATATGAACCGATGTTTACCATCTATTTTAAGTAGTAATACTGTTTTCCCTCAACAAGTATAACAAAAAAAAAAATGAATAACGACATAAATGGGTTATAATTCAATTTCTTGGGACGTTGCCGGCTTTTATAAAGAAACCTTTTCACTTCTGTTTATTTAAATGAGCCCACTTAGCGTTTTTTTTTTTCTATTTCAAAAACTTTTCTTAAATATTGCGGCAGCCCTCGCCATCACCTGGGGGCGCGTTTAGATTGAAATTTTCATTTTCTTCTCAAAAACAACCACCCTTGCACCCCCGACCCCCACCCTGTTAACCACTGACGAACAGATTTACATGCACAATTTATACTTTCGTACTTTTTACAAGTACTTTCCGACGCTTAAGGTGTAAGAAGTGCAAGAGAGATCGGATTAAATGATTTTAAGTATAACAAAGTAAATTTTGCATCTAAAATGTAATTTGCATGTGTAGAACTGAGCAATATGTAATTTGAATAAAAGAATTAGTTTATTTACCTCAATAGTAGTTTTCCCGGATTCTTGCCATTTTATAAGATGTTCGCCCTTCAAAGACCACCCAGGAGCGTAGCTGATAAGACCCCCACTCCCCGCACCAGGCGTCGTTGTCGCCCGTGCACCAGTAACTACGTCACTTGTCTGCGCTTTCGACTTTTTGGGGCTTGTCTGAAGCCGGAAAAAGCTGCGACCGTGAATCTTACAACTTTTGGAGGGGGAAAAGAAAAATGAGCTCTTCTTAGGTGATTTTTCTTGCTCTTCTGGCGGTTTAGACGTTGATGCTGCCGTTTCTGTGACTGAAGCATCTTGAATGTCGTTATCAAGTGTTTCGCCACTGGTACTGCTACTCGGTTTTGGCCCAGAGTTTTCATCAGCCACAAACAATAAGGTCCTCTGCACAAATGGTGTGGCTTTATTGTAGAATTCGTAAGGTTCTGGCACTTTAAAACTAGCAGGTATAGTTGTGTGATGAGACTTAGAGAATCGGCGTTCCATGTATTTTTTTGCCATATCATTCCAGTCACGTCAGTAAGCATTACCTTTTATTCTAAATTAAAAACCAATTTTCAAGCCGTACATTGTCACTAACTTAAACAAGATATAAAAATACAAGTGCAGTCTATGCAAGAATGTAAATCGAATTTACTCTTGTACGTGTTTCGACGATAAATGCATTCCAAGGAAACATATAACTCTGTTCGAATTGCAAATAGTTTTATCAGTTAGCATGCACACACGAGTATCTAAATAGTAACAGAATATCAAGTATTAAAACAGAAAGATTCGAAAGGAGTTCACTTTCAATGGCGATTTCTTTCATTAATACATCTTCATTCAGATCACGGAGAAAGTAAACAACGAGACAAAATAAACCGAGCAGAATAAACCTAGTCCCCTCAAGTTGTTAAGATAGGCGGGAGGTATTCGTAAACTATACCAACCCCACCTGGCTGGAGATTTACCTCAACGATACTAGATAAGTCTTCAGCAGCATCGGAAAATATAATAAAGATTAAAGCGAATGAAAGGAACAAAAACAGACTTATAAGGGATGGAAGAATTATTATTACCATAAATACGGGTAGATCAGGAACATGTTCAAAATTAATAGAATTGGAGATGTTTTTGGTAAAAAACGGTATATACATAGGTACCTTATGTTTCAACCCCTCAATGGATAGTAATCCAAATAAAATGTATGAAAGAATTAAAACTATACTTAGTTATTTTTAATAAATAACTGTAATGTTCCATTTGTTTACAAAAATCATATATTATACTTGGGCAATACTGTTTCACTATTCATTGGCAAAAGTTTCTGGATCTTTTTGATAGTCTCTTACATTTTCTCATAAATTTCATACCCACCATACGTATATGAAAGCCCTCTTGAATTTGAAAAAGTCATGAAAAAAAGAAACTTAAATTTACACATACTTCATTCAATGCAGGACTAAAAGTACCAACCCATAATATTTCCCAAAAACAACTAATTCCTTTTCATTTCGCATCCAGTAATTTGTATTAGTAGAGAGCCATGGCTCGACGACGGGTTGCAATTTTCACGCGGAGGTTCTACTGCTACGTGTACCTATCGATCGATGCGTGGGTAAACATTGCTCCCTTATTGTGAACTTCTTCTTCACCTGATTTGACACCTATGACTGTCAAAATAAAGTTTGAATTGCGTTGGCTGTTATAGATCTAAATTTTCGAAAGACCTTGAAAGCGGGATCAGGTTTTTCATGTTTTAAAGGTTCTGATTTTTTTTTGATACTTTTGTGGCTTTTATTTTTATCCTTTACACGTTCATCTGGTATTTTGCAGTTTTTTATTTAAGGTCTAGTAGCTTTGTAAACGCCAGATAATAATATCAGGAAGAAGTTGCCTTTGATAAAAAAAGATAGGTATGTCAGATATCACCAACGGAAATATAATAAGGCATACAAGAAAATGATCATTGTAGACGCAACACATCTTAAGCAGGACTTTGTTCCAATTTATGACTCATTCAGTTAAATTGTTTTTTCTAAATATCTTTCAAAGATAAAGAAAAAGATACAATTATTTTACAAAAGAGTAAAATTATGACGAAGGCGTTTACGTGAAACAGTAAAGTTCTCTACAGTATAATAAAATTATGTAACGGTTTCACAATACTCCTACAGCCTTTGTATCAAATATTTACCATTTCATTTGAAGCGTATCACGAATCAACACGAACGATTAATTTCCTGTTATATTTACGGCATAATTTCCTCAGCAAAGGAGACTTAACAATTGTTCCGTAGTGAAAGTGAAACACGTAGCCCTCTATTTACTAGCACGCGTCGCACTCCACGGCAATCAAACTGACACGGCTTCAAAAGTACACTATGTTTCCTCGCTAAGGTCGTATTAACAATAGGCCAAAATTTGTAGAATAAATACACACTCACACACAATATAATTTTAATTTTTGAAATAAAGTCTCAATAAATAAATAGTAAAAGTTTCTGTCTAAATAATCACCCACAAACAAACCTTTGAAACAAAATCAAAAAACTTTCTTTAGTGATGTAACAACAAATGTTACGTCGTTTCTTTATGATATCATTTGTCATAACATTTTTTTTTATGATTCTGTTCTCCTAAATCTTATAGTTTCTCAACATTCATCTGTCGTTTTATCCACTCGCGTTTTTCTTAGAGACTATTAAAACTAGAAATCTGTAATTTTGCATGTATTTAAATATTAATCAAGCCTATAATGTGGTAAAATAAAAAATAAACTACACGTGAAGTGGGGATGAATTATTTATTCTTACTGTTCTAGATTTCTTAGATGGGTTTAATCAAACTCCTATTCGTAAATATCTAACATGGTGTCAGAAGCATGTTATAACATAGAAATTACAAAAATAACGTCAGTGTATTGTACGTACAAATACTGAAGCTTGTAAGAGTACCATCACTTTCTTTTCTGATTAAATACTAAGAAATTTATCAGGCACAAGGTAGCATATTGTTCGCCACTAATAATTTGCTCAGTAAGAAAGGGATCTAATGTTAAGCTAAAGTTTGTTCATATAGAATACAAATAAGTGTTAATTATACTGTCAGGTTACGTTCAAAGCTGAAAAGGAGGATCGTGGCTTTGACAGGGTTATATTATATGAGTATATACAATACAAAGGAAGATTAAGCTTACGTAAAGTAAGGCATTGGGCGGGTGAATAAGCTTATGGAGTAAAGGTCTATGAAATCTAAAGCTAAATCAATTGCCTATTATTATAATATATTTAAACATTAAAAAAGAAATTAGGCAATTAAAATAAGATTAAAAAACAAACTCCAAAAATGACTGTTGAGCTAATTCCCGATAACTATTACTATGAGAGTAATTCTGATTTATTTTATATTTATATTTATACGTGAAGAGAATTATTTGCAGCAAAATTCATATACGTAGAAATGTAAAGTTTGAAAGAGGAGTGAAAAAGCTTACATTTTAAAGCATTGTATCTCAAAATTAAAATAACTTGAAAAGAGCTATATCAATCTACGTATGTCTGATGTAGTTGACCTGTTAGTTAACAAACAAACTTATACCGACCCAGAGGCGCAGTAATCATGTATGTAAATGTTTTGCAAAACCGTGAAATACGCTACAACCTACATAATAGCTTCATGATAATCCTTTTGAAATAATTACCAAGGAAAAAACATACCATCCTGTTTCCTTACAATATAAAAACATTAGTCTTCTCACCAATGAATACACAATCGCATTTTATATTTAATTCATATTCATAAATGTTAAGTAGATAGCAAGTTTACGAGCTATAAACGCATTTTATGTTTAACAAATAACGCGTAAAATGTCTTATGCATATTTGATTCGTTTTGAAATGATTGCTTTACGTAGGTACTGAAAGGTTGTTTTTGTTGAGAAAAAATTGTCGCAGACCAATTGACAACAACTACAAAAGAAAGGAACATATTAATGTGCATATTAGCGACAAGTAAGTATATGTTGTAATCGTTTTTTTTTTAATGTCAGGTTAGGGTGCCTCGTCTCATTATTTCAACCAAACACGAAGACGCTGTATACTGCACGTATGTATATTTGATTAAAATTACTTAACTAATTTTTCACTTTATTTAGTTGTTCCATACAGTATGTACACCACAACACAGATCGTTCTTGTGGCAAAAATTTGCACAACTTGGGTCCCACAATTTGCTAAATGGCAACGTGGTAGGTCAAGGTGAAGAAGGCGGGACGATCTAGACTGCTGCCGAAAGCCTGGTCCGAACTTGCACATGATAGAGAGATGTGAAAAGGAGAGAGAGACGTCTTTGCCCTGCAGTGGGAGGCTAAAAATAAAATAATAGATTTTAATATTTCTTCACACGTATAGTGTATACTGAATTTTAACCAAATCTATACGCATAGTTGTCTATAAGCATACGTGTATAGCAAGTAATAATGATGTATGACCCCTTCTCGACTACCCGAAAAAAATATCTTTATAGACATATTATCGCCTTAATAAAAAATACTAACCTAATTGCGAACACTGGGCTTGTGTACACTATTATCAATATCAATACAGGCGGTAAATGGGCTACATATAGGTCTACGACTAACCTGACCCCCTTAAGTTATCGTCACAATAAAACTGTTCACGTATTGTTCTAATACAGCCATAACTATAAATTCAAATGTTTTGTGGTTGTGTTTTGTGTTAACGATCTCAAACTTAACTCGAAACGATGCTAAAAATTGTTACTCAATCTCTAACGTAATATGAATCGAAATGTGATGTATCTGTCAGTCATAATTAAGGTTTGTTAAGGTCAATCACTTGATTTTTTATTAGACTGGGCTTTAAAGAATATGGGGTTACATTCAAAATGGTTGTCATCACAGTTATTTTTTGAGTTTTGCTGTTCTTTAATCTTATATTTATGACCTCCATATTTATTTATATAGATACAGTAATACCTAGTTTCGTTTTTAACGCCTAATGCAAACAGGAAGAATGTTTTAAATTTAACGTTAGTATGTGTTTCTGTCGGTGGCATCAGAGCCCCTAAACAGGTGACCTATTTGGTATTTATTATTACTTTGATAAGTAATAGAAGTAATAGAAGCAAGAGTCTTCATGTACTTCAAGATACTTTAATTAACCCTTCGAAGATTATTACATATTTTTTTACTGTGCCTACACAGCATCTGTGGAAGTATTTTAATTTACTCTAATAAGACAATTTCAATTACATTTATAAACACATTAGTGTAATACATTTATAGATATTTTTTAATCTGTAAAATCAAAGGTAAATAATAATCTCAGGTAGTACATATTCCGACATACATATCAATAATGGATATTATTGTCGTAGAGGTTTTATTTATTTGTGTATATAGAGGTCTATATTACACATATATAAAATTAATAAAAATATCTTAGATTTCTTTCAACGACAAAAATATCTTCTATTTGAGACGGCATTCATTGCAA